GTGCCGGGAAAGAAAAGAAGAGAAGTTAATTAGTACTGCCTGGCTAAATCAATCATACACGCCTCAACTTACCTTTAATAACACGAACTTTGAACCAGTGAAGCGACTGACTCGCCGTTTTCCAGTCCAACAATATATTTTTTGTAAATTTGTGATTTGTATACTGCTTTAGTTGCTTTCTTTATAAACTACAAAAAATAGTTAATTGTTTGAATTTATAATTACAATATTCAAAAGAATATGGATTGAAGTTTAAAGTTTGTCCTTGAAAGAAGAGTTTCTAGAAGCAGTTGTTGGTTTTTATCTTTTAAACTTTCTTGTTATTAAAAAAAATTTTTTTTAAGTGTAACAAAATTTTTAGAAAAGAATTTTTTTGATTATTAATATCTAATAGTTAATTATTTTTTAATTGTTTTTTTTAATTGGTCAAGAGTATTAATAAATGCAAGATTTTTATTAATAAATAATATTACTTCTATTATATTAAATATCTTTACAAAGTAGACCATTGCTGTTTTAAATGTAAATTAATACTATTTAATGAATAATATAAAAGCTTAAAGATTGGAATTTTGAGCTATAGTATTTCAAATCTGCTTGTAATTAAAATAAAATCAGTAATTTAAGAATTCTAGAAAATAATAAAATACTATAAAAAAAATCTAACAAAAAATAATAAATAATAATAAATAATAATAAAATATAATAGTATCTATAAAATTTTCAATGAAAAATCTCTTTTTGCTGATTCTCTTGCCAACCCAAAAAACAAATGTTCCAAAGAAATTTTATATTTCTCTATAACAAAGTCTATATACACTTTTTAATAATATTACTATTCAAAAACTTCAGTTTTTTCCTACTTGTTTCTCTTCTTCTTTAATATAATCTTTTTATATTTCTGTAAATAAATACAAGAAAAACCTATCTATAAAGTCAAAGACAAGAACACTTTGTTAGAAAAAAGAACCTGTAAAAAAACATCATCCTCTTTTACTTTAGAGGTTCAAGACTCTAAAGAAGATTATCACTAACTTTTGGAACTCTTCTTTCATTTTCTTTAAGTTTCTCTTCTATCTTCTCAACTATATATACTTTTTTTTTAGAAATTTTGTCTACCTCAGTTTGAATTTGTTTTTTGATTACACTGGAACTCCCAAATAATAATTGGCTAGAAATTTGAATTGGTTAATCTACACATAGCAAGAAATATAAACAAGACATATAACTCTTATATGTCTTATCTTATATAACAATAAATCTTATAATGCCATTGGACACAGTGAAAAGAATAAAGTGATGAGGTATTTATTTTGGTAAAATATGTTATGGTATTTTTTCTTCCTTCTTGGACTGGTTTCTTTTCTTTTTAAAATCAAAAAAGGCCTTATTTAATTCAGTAACAAACTTTCTCTATTGTTGATTATTCTGAGAAGACATCAAGCAATAATTCCCTAAGGTATAAGTCTTGTTTCAAGCAATAATTCCTTAAAGGTTATAAGACTTGTTATAAGTACCTTGAACATTCTTGATCAGCAATGGAATAGTGAAAATTAAATGGTTTATCTAGCTGCAAATAGTAATAAAGAATTTATTTTAATGGATTGAAGTTAATATTGAAGAGTTTTTATTTATCAGAACAAACTTTTTAACTATTTTATTTTCTTTTCTTTATTTTCTTAAAAAATATTTTTTTTACTTCTTAAAACTATAGATTTATATTGGGATGATAGTTTAAATGTAGGCTAGCCATGATTTTTTCAAGGCCAAAGGGCAGTTTTGAAAAAGATGTGATTTTATTATTTCTCACTATTACACTTATAGAGTTAAGATTTGGAAAGTCTAAGATAGTTAATATCACACTGTAATAGTTTAATGAACCAACTTTTTTATAGCAAAATAGTTAATAAATAGCTAAATTATGTAAGTGACACAGTTGGTATTAAGAATTCAAGAATTATATACAAATTTAAAAATAATTTGTCAATGGATATTCAATATTATGCATGTTTAGCTCTAGTATAAAGCCTTATGGTTCAATATATTATTGTTTTATTTTTATAGAAAATCAATAAACAGCAAATCACAATCTGATTAGAAACAATATATATATCTATATCTATAAAATTTTCAAAAATTTTTAGTAACAATAACAAATTTAATTAGATTGATATTAATTTTTTAGATTATACAATTGTAATAATTTGTTTGAAAAGTATATAATTTTTTAATAATCAAAATTTATTTATCAAAAAAGAGATTTTTATAGAGATAATTTTATATAGTTAAATAAAGAATAAAAGTGGAAATAACAAATATTTTTAAAAATAAAAAAAATTATTTAAAAAATATAATATATTAAAAAAAATATTCTTTTTTGCTAGTCAAAATATAAGTTATATTGTACAATTATTTTATTAATAAAAGATATAACATGTGGTTTATCTTAAAACATGATTAAAAAAATTATAACTGCAATAAAAAAATAAAAAAAACAACAAAAAAAAGTTTATATAAAATATTAATATTGGCAATAAATATTATATTTTATTTATATAATAAATTAATTAATATTATTTAAATTTATTTTTTATTTTTAAAAATATAAACTATATTAATTTGAATTAAATAATTAATCAAAATATAATAGTTTAAAACATTAAAAAATTTAAATAAAAATTTTAAAAAATTAAGTTAAACAATTAATAGCTATAATAATTAAAAATTAAAATTAAAATAAATAATTTAATAAAAATCATATTTATATAAATTGATTTGATTTAGATTATAAAAAAATTAAACCATTCAGTTTTAATTCAGATTAGTTTATAAAAAATTAAAACCAATTAGTTTTTGAATCAGATTGATTTAAAAAAACAAACAAGTTTGTTTTTAATTTTAGTTAAAACCAATTCAAGTTGAGCAATGGTACTTCTTGGTAATAGAAATATTTAATTTAGATAAAATAATTTGAAGTTTAATATTATTTAAATAAGCTTTAATAAGCATTGCATAACTAATAATATTTTTTTTATATATTTATTTGAAAAACAAAATTAAATTTTTAGTAAATTATTATAGAGGTATATAAATAAGCTATTATATTTTAAAATATAATTTATATACTATACAATAGTTTGTCTAAAAAGTCTTAAGCAAAAATTTTTATAATAAATAAATATTCATTCATTTATTTGATATAAAATTTTAAAAATACATTTTTTAGAATATAAAAATAAAATATTAAGACTTTTAATACTTTAATAATAAATTTATCTTAAATTATAATTTTTAAAATAAAAAATAGAGTAAAAATTTTTTATAAATTTTTATACTTAAATTTATATATAATTTATGTGATTGGAAAATTAATTTTTAATATATAAAATTTTTTTAATAACGCCGTTAATCAGTGTCTGATTATAAATAATACAGGTGAAGATTCAGGTCTTAATGCAGATGAGTAGAAATTTAGGTAATGAGACATAGAATTTCATCTGATTTATCACATCCCTATAAATGAGAAGGGATTTTGTTTGAAAAGTAATAAGTTTATAATAAGCACTACAGTACAGTATTATGTTTTATTAAATGATTATCATTAATTGATGCGTTGTTCTACATCATAAATATTTCACGTGACATTGACATTTTAGTCGCGTTACACGGGGAAGGCAAAAGAACAAACCAACCACAAACTGTAGAAGGTGGCAAAGACGTTTGGCCATCAGATGCGGATGCGTCTAGGAAAGGAAAGAACATCCATCATCAGATATTGATACATCTGAGAAAATACAAATATCCGAAGAAACTCTCTTACTAGGGGAACAGTCTAATTATTACATTAAAGCTAGTTTTTGAGCTGAATAAGGTAAGTACAAGGAGTCTTCCAATTAATTCAAACTTCGCAACTACAATGTTGATCATTATAGAAAGTTGAAGACGGTGTAACGGTGTAACGGCGAGCCAGTCGCTAACTCTAGCAGAGATTCGCGTAACCGTTACTGGGTAATTAAATGAAAGGGTGATTTTAGGCGTGTTTGTATTTGACCGAGTCTTTATTAATTTTCTCACTTCTTTCTTTTTTCATCTCTTTACTATTTACATTCTTTTTATATTTCTCTTTCTTTACAATTGGCTATGGCGGCTTGGGTACAGAATAATAAGCTATAGTACAATGACGGGGCTTAGGCTATCTTACATAATTTCTCTCGTCAATTTCTTTCGTCACTCGTTATTACCTAATTATTACTGCCGACTTACCATTGTCACGACTATTGATCACGTGACTACAGTCGCGTCCCATTTCTCCCGGTTACAACGGCCATAAACATCAAGCCATTGGCGAATTAATCGCATCCAATACGGTCTCGTCCCTGAAACCAGTACTCATGCTTACAGACTTCTTCTTGACATTTGAATTCTATTGGATTGCACCTTCTCAAGATCCAAGGCTCTCTGGCCGTTCCTCCGTCTGTATGACTGATTTTAATGACATTTATCAAGCTTCATCATTCGCCCGCGTTTTGCTAGCTCCTGATCGAGCGATAAATTATATGACGCCGGAAAACCTAAACAAGCTACCCCTCGATGAAATAAGAGATGTGATCAGTCAAATAACGATGACCAGAGGACCGTAAATTATATGAAATCACGAAAAAGCTGAGGAGATTCCTACCGTTTGTGCCTCCAAAGTTTCGTGAATGATATCCTAACCAGCGCAGTTATTTCCATTAGGGTGGACTTGTAAAACAGATGTTTATATCCATGATAAGTTGCCACGGAGATAGAATCACTCCCCAAAACTTGGGTTTCTATATGAAGTATTAAAATCTCTATTAATAACTGATTGATGTAATGGTTGCGTTCTTTAATTTACTTTTTTTCGATACACATGCAAGTTGAAAATAAAGCCCCATATAGACAAACTTTATCAGATGCATTTATATTTTGAATACATGACGTAGTAGTTCATGTTACTTATTAAAGACAAAAAAAGTTCCAAACTTCGATATTGTTACGATCGAGCTACATGATTATCACATTTTACCAGAATGAATGTTCTTCTTGATATTATCCGAACTAAATAGATGGTACTGTAAACGTCTTTATTTGTTGGATTTATGCCATTATGCACAATACAGGGGGTAGTCAACCACTCGTTCATGCGGAATAGATAAATGAAGAGGAAATATAGATTATCGATTACTTTTCTTTATTAAATAAAAAAAAAATACAGTTATTGCTGTATATAGTATATGTAAACCCACGATGACGTCCAACACTTGCTTTGCAACTTTTTAGATTGTGTCATAATATGCACAGATTAAGTGGACCAATTTTGTGTAAGTTTTGCCAGCACTTAAACTGTAGAAATAGCCTTTACCATCGTCAGAGAAAACCACAGAAGCTCCCATCGTCGCCATTATCTTCGTTATAATCTTTGCAGTTATTGGCATGAACTACTTCCGGCTGAAGGAATCTTTATCACCAGACGCACTTAACTGAGACGTGAATGAAAGCTTAGTTTCCAGTGAGATACTATTATCATTCACCGATACATTTACTGCCGTTTTCAATAAAATTGTAATGTGAATAATGCATTTTTCTCAATTTGTGGTAAAAATTTAACTTCAAGTTATATTATCTTCCGAGACAACGGAATAGAAAAAGTAGAAGTTTGTTAATTAGCATAATTTATAATGTTGTCTGTATTTATATATAAGTAAGGCTAGAAATTGCATTTACGCTATATGAAACCTGTCTAAATTTTATGTCGTGAATTCACATGTCTGGTAGAAGCCGTGCAATTTCGCGATACACTAGTTGATTTTTTCTTTACCGACTTTTTACTAGCAGAAACTTCATCTAACGCTTCTGGCATAGTCTCTAGCAAGATCAAATTGCTTTTCGAAATATGCATACTATGGTCTGCACTGAAATTGAGAATAAATCATTAATAGAAATGTCAAAACCTTGCATTGAGCTTTTGTCTAAAGTAGTTGAATTGTTACCTTAGTTTCTTTCCTTACTTTTTAAATCCAGAAATTCATTGATCTTTTATTTTCTGACAATTCAGGCTCTATTAATATTTGAAGAAATATTAAATGATGCTTTGTGGAGAATATAATCTTCTGATATGTGTACTTCATTATTTTGTCTGCTTCTGTTCCAATTTCGTGACTCTACCTCTTATATTAGCATTTTCAGAAACGAGATTGCCGATGTCTGTTTTATCTTTATTTTCCAGATCCTCGAATCTGGTCTTGAGCACAGAATTGACTTATTTAGCTTGTTTCAATTTTTATTTTCAGCTTTGATCAGCATTCTCCTTTCTAAGCTATTCAATCGTGGCAATGAGTTAATAATTTAGTTCCTGCTATGAATCAACTTTAATTGTGTATTTTCTATTTTTAAAAATAATATAGATATATTCAACATGTAATGACATCATGTAAAAATTAATTATCGAAAAAAAAAGATTATTTAGGTCTGATTAATTATTGATACAATATATGAAGCAGGATAACTATCTGATTACCTGTTAAACGTTTTCCCCCAGATTTTTTCTGATTACAATATGCTTAAGTGTATTTTTCATTAGATTTATTTGATATTCACTGCAGTATCAATGTTATATTTGTAGAAGCTAAATGAAAATTAAATTATCATACAAGTTTATTAATAAAACTTCAACTATTTAAATCGTCATACAGGACTTGCCAACAAAAGTTAAATGTATATTCAAACTATTACACGGGTTTATTAACAGGTGTTAAAGTTTATTAAAAAATTTATCTTATTCAGTGTATATACATGCTTTCTATTTATATTATTAGCTGAATCCACAGAATAATCATAATTTGCAAAAATAAGCAGAATTATAATAATAATACTAATTTTTATACTTTTATAATAAATAATAAAGTAATCAGCTTAGGAATATATTTACAGTATTTTCTATTCCTTATTAATAGTATAATAATAATATTTATTTTTAATTTTTCTTTTTTATAAAAAACTGTCTTAAGAAGATTTAAATAAGTAAGATGTGTACTTGTTAAGCTACTTTTCCTTTTAAAGAAACCTTTCCCTTTATTATTATTAAAAAGAAAAATTATTTTAAAAATATTTATCAGATCTCAAAAATTAAAAAATAAGGTTGAAGCAAATAAAACTAATTTGAAAATACAGTTGAAAAGGTCATAGCCACATTGGAAAAAGTATTTGTTACAGCAAGGAATAGATTAGCATATATTATATCTTGTAAAACATTAGTTAAATAAACCTGAATATATTTTTTGATTTGTATTTTGTTTTAATATTGTTAGAAAACCACATATTATTTATTTGTTTGTTTAATCCTAAGATATACAGTACGCAGTACTAATTCTATGGTCAATCCTTAAATCAATGACCAGTATCTAGAAGTTGACAAAAGAATATTTAGCAATAATAATATGTACCTATTTATGCAAAATATTAAATGTTTAATTTACTTGCCATGATTGTGTTCTGAATATTTTGGCTCCGGAAGATCTTTCATGTTCAAATATCGACTAGTATATATTGCATATGGATTTGTTGTAAAACCAGACGTAAAATTCATCACACTTTCATCAATTTGCTGGGAAAGTGTTGAGCTCGGATAACAATAGTAAGTTTCCCATGCGTATAAAATACTACTCAAATCACTTGCACTTAAACGATTATGCGGATCGGAATCCCAGCATTTTTGTATCAATTCAATTAATAAATCAGGCATACCACTAGGAGTTTCAGGACGGAATCCATTACATATTTTGATTGCTAAGTCGTTATCGTGCGGGATATTTTGAAAAGGGAGAACTTCAGATAACACCTCATACATAATGATACCAAATGCATAGACATCTGCCGCGTCCGTATACTCCTTTCCGCATAAAACTTC